GAACCGTTGCAGTCTGTCAGCCTTATAATGGAGGTGAATGGGAATCACGGCTTTGAGAGTAAAAAAAAAACATACACAAACAAAACCAAATTAAACCCTGCGGCTCGTGACGATACATTGATGTGTAAAAACACAAAACGATCGGTCTGTGCAAGAAACTGCAAGGTTTTTTACCTCTGATTTTCACCGCAATGTCTGAACTGTCTGAACTGTCCTGAGCGCGTTCGCATCTTCTTGTTCAGCCTGCGCGTGAGGCGTCAACAAGAAGATGCGAACGCGCTCAAGACAGTTGCGGTGAAAATCAGAGGTAAAAAACTATATAAATACTGTTGAGTTTCTTGCACAGACCGATCGTTTTGTGTCTTTACACATCAATGTATTGTCACGAGCCGCCGGGTTTAATTTGGTTTTGTTTGTGTATGTTTTAGACTCTCAAAGCCGTGATTCCCATTCACTTACATTATATGACTGACTGACTGCAACGGTTCGAGTTAAAAATCTCCGTTTGTGTTTCTCTGTGATTGTATCATGTTATTTGGACACGATTAAATCAATTTATTAAGACATGTCTGATTTTAGTTGAGATTACTCGGTTGAGTGGCTTTAGTTCGTACTACATGAAATATATGAGTAAAGATAATATGTTTACATCATGTAGAACCACTGTCCATGAAAGTTCAGCCAAAGAGTTATAATAACATATTAGCAAGTAAGACAACTTTTCTTTACACATATGATTTTAGTTGTTGGCAGTTTAAGGATGGTACTTTGTACATCACTAGCACTCCCATTGGAATTGGTTTGTTTTTAATTAAAGTACATTAGACTTTTTTTAAGCAGGTCCTCAAGCCAACCACACGCTCCACACTTCACCACAATGGTAACTTGCACAAAATACACCAATAGAAAGTCTTTTAAAATGCCCACCTAATAGAGTATTAGACATGCACTGAAAAAAAAATGTCATTCATCCAATTAAAAAAATGTAGGGTAATGGTTCACATCTATATTTTATAACTTGAGCCAATGAAAAATAAATAACTTGCCCTAAACAATATTTTCTTTGTCTATGAAAACTATTTTTACTTTATAAAACTTGGCACAAAATATATTTTTCTTGTTGAAGAAAGTCAGTTAATTTAAATTCTATTTTTGATCTAAACAAAAAGATATAGATTTAATCAAAACAAAAATTCTCATTTAAAAAATAATATTAGAAATTATTTGTTTTCTCCAATAAAATAGATATAGATTGAATTAAACAATTGTTTCTCATTTAAGAAATATGTATTAGAAATAATTTGCTTTATCCAATCAAACAGATATAGATTTAATTAAACAATTATTTCTAATTTTTAAAAATAAAAGTTAATAGAAATGTTTTATTTTAAACAAACAAAAACATATGGATTTAATAAAACATGATTCCCATTAAGGGACATTACTTAATATTTAATCTTATCCAAAATCTAAAAAAAAAAAAAAACATCAATAATTTTCATTACATCGAAATTTATTAACCTCCACACATCCAAAATTTCAGTACTCAAGTGTCAGATTTTTTACTTCTGAGAGCTGGCAAAAGTTGACCTTATGAAAAAGTCTCCCTATTATTTAATTTTACTAAAAAATGCATAAAATAACAATATTTCAACATTTTCTCTCCCCATATCCAGTCCTGTATAAAGCATGATGGGAAGTGTAAAACTTATTTTGAGGTACTTGATTGAAACATGTTCTTTCAAAATTAAAACTTCGAGTTAAACCAAAAAGTAACCATTTCAAGTCAGTTTAACATGATGCAGTCATGTTTGAATGCGAAACCTGATACAATGGTGTTAAATCAAAATGAATTGTTTAAATAAAGTGAACAGCATCAAAAAATCTTTTTTTTGTCAACTGGGAACTGCAGATGATAATATGGTCTAGCTTGTTCCTGTTTATAAAACTATAAATGGGTAAAGTCACAGTTAACCCTTTCACACAAAAGTTTAAAACATTCTAGCTGAACCCCCAGCATGAGATTTTTAAGGAGATTGTTATTTTAGAACTTTCCATGGCAATGTTTTATGCTTGTCATGTGACGCACCGCAGCCACAATAGCACTGTATGGCTTATTTATTGTTTTATCTCCTTTTTCCTTTTTTGTTCAAAATATTCACTGGTTAACTTGTTAAGCATATAATGAACTATCTTATATTTCAATTCTCAAATACATGAATGTGTTTTGTCATTTACACACATTTGTAATAACGCTTGATGGGTGCTGCCATGTTAGTTTGCACTGCAATTAAGAGAATCTGATTTGTTTGCTTGACAACACATAAATTCATCCACTTCTCCCGAAATACATTCAAGTAAGTGACCAGTTAACTGGGAGAAGAATAGTGTCACAACTGATTGTATATATACGCACAAAGATGAATCACAGGGTATCTTCAGAAAAGCACAGACATAACAAATGAGAAGTGAAAACACAGCAACTAAAAATACTAAGGAAAACAAGTTGATGGGCTGAGGTGGAGCGATGGGAAAGCTTGTGGCCATAAGACACAAAGCAGGGAAGCAGTACCTCGGTGTCCCAATCAATCAGTCAGTTCTCAGTGTCAAGCTCCACCAAGACTCTTACTGACATGGATGTTGCCGGCTCACACATGGAAAAATTCTGCCAACTGTTCAGACATGGCAGAGGCTTCGTCTGTACACCTTGCTCTGCTCCTGGGTTCTCCTGAGTTCTCCTATTTCTAGTGGCTCAGTTCTGGCCAGCCCGAGTCTGGTTCTCGGATCTTGTGTCTCTCCTGGATGGCACTCCTTGGGAGATTCCTGTCCGGAGAGACCTCCTGACTAGTGCAGACCCCTGAGTGCAGAGGTCAATCTATCACTAACTGAGGATGCTGAGACAATTCTGAGTTTCATCTCCCTCTACAAGGAAATTGTATGCCTTGAAATGGCAGCTATTTGAGTCATGGTGTTTGAGTCACTTAAACCCAACCCACTGCCCGGTTGGTACAGTGCTGGAATCCCTCCAAGAGCACTTCTCAGTGGGGTTATCCCCTGCTTTGCTTAAGGTACATGAGGCCAATATTTCTGCTAGCCACGTACCTGTTGATGGAGTTTCTGTGAGTAGGCACCCCTGGTGTCTCAATTTTTGCATGTTGATAGGCAGCTGAAGCGTATCAGCAGGCCGCAAGATTCATGATTCTAAACCCTTGAAGACTGAGACAGCTGCCCACGACTAAAATTAAATATTGTTATTAACTGTTAAAAACTTTTGAACTGTTCTTCCAATCTATATGCTTAGACTAGTAAAGAGGAGATTCTTGGCTTTTCGGAGGAATTGCATTTGTCTGAGGTGGACATTCAGAGGATCCGTAGTGATTGTGGTTACGTCATCACATTTTGATCAGTATTGATCCGTCAAAAGAAACCTATGCAGTTTGTTCATCTGAGCCAACCAGGAACGATTGTTGATACTTCTGGCAAATTCATTCATCCTTAGGAGAACTTGAAGTTTCAGTCTAGTTATTTAAAAAAAAAAAAATTCTCTGTGTATAATGATATATCACTTGAAGCTGACTGCTAGAATAGTTTTGAAAAAAAGAAAGAAAAAAAAAGAGAAATGTACAGTACAGGCAAGTCAGGTGCCCCAAAATATTCTAGGTCTTTAAGGGTTAAAGTGGCTCTTCTACTAGCATTGACTTTGTTTAAGAGAGTAGGAGATCTGCAGGCCCTGTCAGTTGTCTTTTCCTGATTAGACTTTGCTCCTGGAATGGTCAAAGCTATTCTGGACCCTAGACCAGACTACATTGCGAAGGTGCCTTCTGCAATTTACCAGCTTGTCATCCTGCAAGCTTTCTTTCCAGTCTTGTCTGCACTCAACAATTGTCTGTGCCAGTGTTACACAGCCTTGTTGGACAGACATCCCCTCCTTAGTGTGGTGGTGTTTTTATTAACATTACCATAGTGTCAATGCCATAACACAGCATCGAGTCCCATTCAAAAGGGAACATCTCAGGTTACTTATGTAATCCAGTGCCACATGTGATTCAGACACCGGCTCACACAACAGTGTTCCCAGAGCATCAACACATGATGTAGCATCGAGTTCTTTTTTCATTTCTCTTTATATACATAACCTGAGACGTTCCCCACTAGTCAATAATCATGATGAAACCAGAGCAAATTCAGTCTTTAGTGTCCTTCCACAGTTACTTTCTTAATTCAGTGCTTTAGTACAATAATACCTTCTTTTCATTACCAAAATCTCTTAGCTCATCTCTCTGATCTGCTGCATTTCTCCTCTCCTTTCTCCTCTCCCCCGAACAACCACTATAATTTCGCAATAGACAGTTGAGTGATGGTTCTAGCACTCAAAACAATAAAAAATAAATAAAAAATCTAACTTATAGCTTAATACAATCTTTTACACATGCTCAGCAGTCCTGCTTTATTTATTGTAGCACTCTTAAAGTAGCACATATACACACATTTTCTTTGAACCAGTATAGACCTTATGTAACTTCACTTGTTTTCTGTCTTCCGTTTGTATTTCCACAGAATTATGAATTAACTACTCCTTTTAAAAACCTCCCGGTCTGCTGACATTTGTAATGACATCTGCCTCGAACATTAAAATGCTCATGATAACTTTAGTTAACTCTACAAAATGTAAATCCACTTCACCAGCTAATTACTCTTCAACTGCGATGCTTAAGAGCTACTGCAAAAAGTTTAAAGACATAATTTTAAAGATGGCAGCACACTTGTTTCTCTTACGCATAAAACCCATTAACACTTCTGCTCTAATTTGGAGACTATAACAAAACCAAAATAATATGAAATGAAAGTACATAAACCATATTCTTGTGGAATATATGTTATGTTAGTGGCAGAAGTTCTTCATGCCTCAGCGGATATAATTGTTTATTATTTTTCTGGTTTGCATCATTTATGTTCTCAGTGTTTGTAAAGGGTTAAAAAAGGTCACGATTAAATTGCAGGAGAACGCGGCCTGTTAAAATGAGTCTCTATGAAGAGAGAGAGGACGGGGATGTTGTTCACTACGAGAACCAGAGAGCATCATCTTCAGAACCCAGTTGTGTGTCTATGAAGAGTGATGAATCCATGAGACAACCCCTTACATTCAGTGATGGACCAGGGACCTCCAACCCCAGGTGAGACAATTACCGGTACTGGAGACAAGAGACAGATTTATACTTTAAACATCAGTGATAAAGAGAGATCATCTGAATAATTAATGTTTTATTCATATTAAACAGCATCTAGTCCAATATCACACCCACTCCCCTGAGCGCACACACCTGTAGCAAACAGAACACCGGCTAAGTTCTCTTTCACATCTTATTGCACTTAAACTGACAAATACAAACAAGGTTATGTCAAAAACAAAAGTTCACAAAAACAGAGTTTACACATAAAAACGTGCAATTATCTGTAATAAAAATAAAAGTAATCCACTGTGTTTTCAGTGGCTCAGATGTCGGGAGTACATAAACAATCCTAGTACATAAATAATGTCCTAGTGTCTTTGCAATGTGTTGTCATTAGCAGTGTTGGGGAAAGTTACTTTTGAAAGTAATGCATTACAATATTGCGTTACTTCCTAAAAAAGTAACTAATTATGCATTACTTATTTGAAAAAGTAACTCGAATATTTTCTTGTAAAATTAAAGAGTAATGCATTACTTTACTAGTTACTTGAAAAAAGTAATCTGATTACGTAACTCACGTTACTTGTAATGTGTTACCCCCAACACTGGTCATTAGTCACATTTATCATTTATTGATTCAGTCCTCCTTGAGAATGAGATGAACTTATCAAATTGATCATCATTCCCCTATTTCATTTAGTCAGCAGATCCTCATTCAAAAACAAGTTGCCTGATTCATTTCATTCACAAACAATATGTAAGCTGTCAAAAATCACTCCCTAACTCTTAATGTCAAGTGTTTTATCTTAACTTATTTAACTCATTCATTTTACAAGAGCAAATGATCATTTGCCGGATGATTCTAATCTAAAGTTTAACATCCATTTAATCAATGAATGTCACTGATGACCTTTGTACAGTTTTATGGTCGGATGAGGAAGTTATGCACCTTTCAGAACACTGCTTCATGAAGCTTTAAAATTTTATGAATCTTTTGTTTCAAATCAGTGATAAAGAGCTTGTATGAAATTGACCAAGTCACATGATTTCAGCAAAGGCTTCATTAAGTCATATCCTTTTTCAAAATATTTTTAAATTTCTATGGTTCACCACTATGAGTGTTGATTTCATGGCTTCACTAGATCTTGCTGCTTATGCCCTCATTCATTCTTTGTGTTTTTCTTCTTGATTCTGCTGTATGGACAGAGATGAACAGACTGGAGAGATAGAACAGGATTGTCACCTACCAGTAGATAATGAACTACAGAGAGTCAAAGTCAAAGACCAACACAAAACCAGCATGAAGAAAAAGTATGAGAGCTTATTTGAAGGAATCAAGCTACAAGAGAGTCAAACCCTCTTAAATAGTATCTACACACAACTCTACATCATAGAGGGAGAGAGTGAAGGAGTGAATGAAGAACATGAGGTTTTACAGATGGAGAAATCTCCCAGAACACAACACTCACAAGACACTCCAATCTACTGCAATGACATCTTTAAACTCTTAACTGAACCAGGATGTAAAGAGAAAGACAGAATAAAGACTGTTCTTACTAAAGGCATTGCTGGAATCGGAAAAACCGTCTCTGTGCAGAAGTTCATTCTGGACTGGACCGAGGGAAAAGCCAATCAGGATGTAGATTTCATGTTTGTGCTTCCATTTCGAGAGCTGAACTTGATCCGCGATCATCAGTACAGTCTTCACAGACTTCTGCTGGACTTTCACCCTGAACTTCAAGATCTGGACTCAAAGATTTACAAGGAGTGTAAAGTTGTGTTCATCTTTGATGGTCTGGATGAAAGCAGATTTACACTGATGTTTTCAGATGTTCAGAAAGTTTCTGATGTAACAGAGACTTCATCAGTGGCTGTGTTGATATCAAACCTCATGAAAGGAGAGCTGCTTCCCTCTGCTCTCATCTGGATCACCTCCAGACCAGCAGCAGCCAATCAGATCCCCTCCAAATACATCCACCGTCTGACAGAAATTCAGGGATTCAATGAGCCTCAGAAGGAGGAATATTTCAGGAAGAGAATCAGTGACCAGCATCAGCCACATACCTGACTTCTGCTGGATCTCATCCACTGTGCTTCAAAAGCTCCTAAAAGAAGATCTGAGTGCAGAAATCCCTCAAACTCTGACTGAAATGTACATCCACTTCCTGCTGGTTCAGATCAACACGAAGAATCAGAAGTATGAAGAGAGAGATAGAGAGACACTCCTGCAGTCCAACAGAGAAGTGATTGTGAAACTTGCTGAACTGGCTTTCAAACAGCTGATGAAGGGCAATGTGATGTTCTATGAAGAGGACCTGAGAGAGAGCGGCATAGACATCACTGATGCCTCAGTGTATTCTGGGATTTGCACTGAGATCTTTAAGGAAGAATCTGTGATTCAGCACAGGAAGGTCTACTGCTTCATACATCGGAGCTTTCAGGAGTTTCTAGCTGCTTTCTATGTGTTTTACTCCCATCTGATGAAGAAAATGGAGTCATTGCAGTTTTTTCTGGATAACAGACATGAGAGGTGCATGTCTAAGCCATACTCTTTGTGTGAGCTTCTAAAATCAGCAGTTACTAAAACTCTTCAGAGTAAAAATGGTTACCTTGATCTTTTTCTGCGGTTCCTGTTGGGTATCTCACTGGAGTCCAATCAAAGACTCTTAGATGATCTACTGACACAAACAGAAAACAGCTCAGAGACCATCAAAGAAATCACACAGTACATTAAAGACAAAATTAAAGAAAGTTATGGCCTCTTAGCTGAGAGATCCATCAGTCTGTTCCTCTGTCTTCTTGAAGTAAATGATCAGACTTTGTACAAAGAGATTGAGGAGTTTGTGAAATCTGGCAAACATTCAGAGAATAAACTCTCCCCTGGTCACTGCTCAGCAATAACCTACATTCTTCAGATGTCAGAGGAGGTGCTGGATGAATTGGATCTGATGAAATACAACACATCAAATGTGGGAAGAAGGAGACTGATACCAGCTGTAATTAACTGCAAAAAAGCTATGTGAGTATTTTTTTTAATAAACAGATTTCTATCATTCATTCTTAATTCAGGTAAGACACCACTGAAGGCCTAGGTGTGAAATGCACGGCTCGCCACTGATATATATATATACACTCACTGGCCACTTTATTAGGTACACCTTGCAAGTACCGGGTTGGACCCCCTTTTGCCTTCAGAACTGCCTTAATTCTTCGTGGCATAGATTCAACAAGGTGTTGGAAACATTCCTCAGAGATTTTGGTCCATATTGACATGATAATAAAATGACAAAAATATAGTGCACTCCGATGTTCTTACAGACATTTATTAAGTCAAATGTATGAATACCTGGCAAATAACATTAGTATAAAACAAATAAGGCGATTGCATGTTTTAAAGTTGACCTAACAATTTAATGTACTCGTACGGCTTTTTGTTTTCACGAGTCTCCCCGCAAGTCTGCCAGCGAGCTGCGGGAGATAAATACTAGTTAACACAGCTTTACTGGGAAAGTGAGCAAGTAACATTAAAATAATTCAGACAAGACAATGAAGAAATGTGTATACATGTGTTTTAACGTATACCTGCTAATTTAACGTATCCTTCTGACTTTCATCTTCACAATGAGTCTTCCTGCCAGTCTGCCAGCACCGCTGCCAGAGGAAAAGGCCAGTTAGCACAGCTTGACTCGGAAACGGAGCACTCCTTAGATATTCTTATGGATACTTAAACGTGGCTTTATATCTTGGAAATAAGATCAGAATAAAACGTATAAAGCAGCAGTGGCGAACTCCGGTCCTGAAGAGCCGCAGCCCTGCAGAGTACAGCTCCAACCCGAATTAAAACTCACCTGCCTGTAGCTTTCTAGTAACCCTTCAGACCTTGATTAGCTTGTTCAGGTGTGTTTGATTAGGGTTGAAGCAAAACTCTGCAGGGCTACGGCTCTCCAGGACCGACGTTCGCCACCCCTGGTATAAAGTGATAAAAAAGTCAAAAACGAAAATTATCCTACCATACTCTAGTGGGCTTTCATCTTCACGAGGAATCTGTCACAGAGCCATTGCCGAGGAGGTGTGTGGTTGTTTTTCGTGGTCTTTTAGATAGGACATTTACTGTATTTATATTTACGGTAGGCTAATAATTTCCCAGAATGGATTGAAAATCTACAATAACATACTGTACACATAGTATACAGTAAGAAACCTGAGAATACAGTAATAATACTGTGAAAACAACAAAAAGGATTTACAGTGTGCTGTTTGCTAGCTTTGACTACTAGTACACTTTCTGACCATCCAATCAAAGGGCGTGAAACTGCCGACGTTATTGTATGCCTGCTAGATGGCCCCGGTGTCACCAACTCAAAATCTGATTGGTTAAAGCAACGGTTTCATTGCCATTTATTTTAAAGGTGACCTATTATGCCCCTTTTTACAAGATGTAAAATAAGTCTCTGATGTCCCCAGTGTGTGTGTATGAAGTTTTAGCTCAAAATACCTTACAGATAATTTTTTATAGCTTGTTAAAATGGCCACTTTTAGGGTATGAGCCAAAACGCGCCATTTTCGTCTTTCCCTTTAAATGCAAATGAGCTTGTGCTCCCGGAGAAGAGGGCGGAGCTTCAAGAGCTCAAATAAACACTCCACTATTAGTACAAGCCTGTTATCTTTACTGAAAACGCACTCGGTTTAAAAGTCAGTCATCTGATTGTACTGTGCATAAAAAATGCACTTTATGAATTACACAGATGGGAGCACGGCGCGATAAAAATAACTCATGGTGCCATACAAACTTTATAAGCCCCACTTGTGATTATGAGCTCAACTAATTCCAGTGGTCGACTTCACATTGCTTTCATATGCAGTTTTAACTACCACATTCCTATTCACGATCATTTTGGTAGCACGTGAAGGCAGCATCAGTGAAAACTGACAGACAATGGTAGCTTTAGCAACATTAGCCTTACAGAGTGCCAAGAAGCTCTTTCAGAAAGGCAATTTGGAAAACAAACGCGTGATACTTACTTCTTCTAGATGGCGTAAACTATGAATTTCGGTAGAGTTGAGGGAGCATTTTCTTCGAAAACAAAATTAATCCACCTTGTCTTCAAGCGGCTCAGATTTTGGGAGTAAGGAGAGAGCTATGTGGATTCATACATCCTGCTACAGAACACCTAAAACGCTTAGGAGACATTCTGGTCAGTGCAGCAATGGCGGACTGTGTACAACTCGCTGTGAACTCGCTCAGGGTGGTTCTATGTTAAAACGGCAGTGTCTGTCAACATT